GGTTCGTGCCCGCTGCTCACCTGGGCCGGCTCCTCCTGTGGTGCAGCAGCCCCGCTCCCGCTCCCCGGCGCGCCCGGGCGCGGCCGCGGCCCCGCTCGGCGGAGGAGGAGGCGGAGGAGGGACGAGCCCCGCGGGCCGCCCTAGACAGGGCCGGGCGCGGGCGCCTCCGGCCGGGCGCCCTCCATGCGGCGGAGCCCTGCTCGCCCTGCGCGGGCGGCTCGGCGGGGCCCGCGGGGCCCGGCTCGGCTCGGCGCGCCCGGCGCCCGCGGGGGAGGCAGAGGCGGCCGGAGCCCCCCCCGCTCCGCCCACCCCGCAGCCCGCGGGGGCCCCGCGCGGCCACCGGCGCCGCCGGCACCGCGGCTCCGCCGGCGGCAGCGCCCGCGCTGGGCTGGGCCGGGCCGGGCTGGGCCGAGGGTCACTCGCCCGACATGCCGAGGCCGCGCCCGGCCCCGCTCCCCGCGCCGCTCCCGCTCCTCGTGCCGGTGCCGATCCCGATCCTTGACCCGACTCCCGGTCCCGATTCCCGGCGCCCCCCGGGCCCTCGCCCCGCCCGCAGCGCGCGCGCCGCAGGGTCTCGCGAGAGCTCAGGGCGGGACCAGTGGAGGAGAGGGGGTGAGATCTCGCGAGATCTGCGACCGCGGTGCGCGCGCCGAGGGAAGGGACTCGGGTGGTTTGTTCCGGTCCGTGAGGGAATTCTGTGTTTTATTCCAAACTGTGAGGGAATTCCCTGCTTTGTTCCGGTCTGTGAGGGAATTTCTTGCTTTTTTTTTTTTCCCCCAATTTGTGAGGGAATTCTGTGTTTTATTCCAGGCTGTGAGGGAATTCCCTGCTTTATGAGGGATTCCTGTGCTTTGTTCCAGGTTGCTCCCGGAAAACAAAACAAAAAAAGCTCCCCGATCTTCGAAACTTCACGCTGTTTTTACATTTTAACAAGCAAGGGCACCAGTGCTCGTTAACAATTTTAAAACAAATTTCCCAAAGTTTGGCTCAAACCCCCCCCTTCGGGACGCCCAGGGGCGCGCGCCGGGACCCCTCGCGAGATCTGGGGCGGGGCGCCCTCTCGCGAGAGCCGCGCGCGGCCCTCGCCGCAGCGCCCCCTGGCGGGTGCGGGACGCGGC